GGTGTAGTGTTCATTGTGTATTGTTCATGTAGTGTTGATGCTTGGGTTAAATCAATAATAAGTGGAGTATTAGGATTATGAAGGGGAAACACTTAGAGGACATAAGCGACCCCATTTGTTGGGGGAATGCTTTCCCACACTGTCTTTGCGATGTGGGCTTCACTTTGTTTAAAAGTTAGGACTGCTGAGCCGGTTTGTAAGAGGCTTTTGTGAAAATGTGAAGTTGCTGCGGTAAGCACTTTTAGAAGCCTTAGCGCTATACTAGAATTCCAAAATAGACCTTGTTTGAAAGAAATGTGTATATTTTAATCAGTGAGTAGATTTCAGATGAGGGTATAAGACTCAAGATTCATAGTGATATTTGTGTACCAGAATGTGAATAAGATGTGAAAGCATGCCAAGCGATCAAAGATACTGGAATATTTATTTCTAAGAACTTATTATTATAAAGATTTTATAGATTTGTGTGGTCCCATATCCGTAAGTATGATTCAAATTTCTAGTTTGATATATTCTGTGCTTTCCATGTTGCAAACCTTTTTTTTATCCCAGAGGAAAAGAGAAATTGCAAAGATTTGTCGAGTACAAATCATTTTAATGAGTTGAGGTAAAATCGTTTTTTCGAGTTTGAGTTTTTTGGGATGAGGATGTATATGCCCTTTATCTACGCATATATAATTTCCGAGGTTTTATTCTGGTAAGGTGTGTAAATGTTTATCAGGGATCTGTTTAGTTATCATCGTCGGTTAACATTGTTGTTAAGGTTGCACTGTAATGGAATATGATAAGTTAACTGTAGTTGGGGTAAAAGATGAAATCTTCTAGAAGAGTCGTGTAAAAAAAATACAATTATTTTGGTATTCTGTTGATATTCTATTGCCAGGTGTTTTCTAGAAGTTAATGTTGTAATGTGATAATATTGACATTTTTTTTTCAGTTAACTCTACAGGGTTAGCTATATTTGTAATGCATTTCTGATTTATTCTTAAATTCTTACGGTTGAAATTATTAGTTTGTTTTATCGTTTCTTTTTTCTGGAAGGTTGATGTGTGTTAATTAGTGTGTATGATTGTGCTTCACATGGGTTATTATTGAGATTATTTTAATGGGGGCACCGTTGTGCGGTGCAGTATCGTATAGGTTTCTTTCCATCTCTAATAGTGTATTAATACAGAAATTTATACTATAATGATGTAGGTGGCACCAAGTCGTAATAAGTGAATAAATACTCTACATCGTTCACGAACCTGACATCTACTAACCACATCACCACAACACACACACACTAAAATCAACACACAGCACTACCACATACACACACAACTTTTCACGACTCCAACCAGCACATCTATCACAACTACACACGACTCACAACGATCACAACACATCACCACTCGTACACCACTCACTCACTCCCAAATTGCCTCACACACATATTTTACACAATTTACAATCTTAATCACAATATAGTATCTTGTACACGACTCTATCACACTTTACAACATTTCACATCACTTCAATAATGCCAACTCTTGTTGTCCCAGACAGGCACTAACCCAGTCTCGCGTGAAGCACGATGACTGACAGATACTCCTAAACTTCCCCTATTCACAATCTAACACCCTATACATATTATCTATCCAAGTACATACACGCAACACCATAAATAGCATGTCTGTATCATAGATATACCAAAATCGATGATGCAGAACATTATACCTAAGACCTCCAAAAATATGGTATTCTCGTCCTTATCTCCATACCAAATGCGGTCCCCCTAATTCTCAGCGCGCTCTCAAGAAGATAAGTAATAACGCTATGGAGGCTTTATACAACAGCCTAGTCAGACAGAGTGTTGAGTAGAAAAAATGGAAGTACACTTTAAGAATGAAGAATAAAGAGTGCATCAATCAACCCGTGCAGCTTCACATGTTAGACCCACTCTTGAACATTCAGAAAGACATGCAAATTGAGATTGTAGAATATTTAGTAGCTACGTCATACAGTTAGTTGTTGATGTTGATAGTGGTATTGTTTTTTCCCATTATTATTGTTTATTTATTATTATCTTAGTATTTATTCACCTCTATTATTTATTAGTTTATTTTATTATTATTACTTGATACAGTCTATTATCTATCTCCTTATACGTCCATCCATCACTCCAATCCCCCTCACTTCCCTATACTCACTAATTCTTCTGTTGTATAATATCATTGCCAACACCTCTACAATTTAAGATTGTTATTCACTCATCCCACACTTATTTTCTATCATTTCTTCATTTCATGGTACTTTCACTCATCATATCTATTTCTCTGATCCCGTACTGCACGATTCCCTTATTCGATCATGTTATTACTTAATACTATCGTGCCGAACACTTCACAATCCCCTATTTCTAGCTATGTCGACGACTGTGCAGTCTACTTCAATTCTTTCCAACTAACTTACATATATGTATATACATACAAACACATATACATGTGTACATATATACAAATGTATGTATACCAAAGACCCAAATTATTGTTTTATTTAGTTCAAGGATTTAGTTTAGTTGGCTTTCTTACACCTGTCAGACAGGTTTGTAGAAAATGGAAGCTTTAAAATGAAAGAATAAAAGGCAAATATCGTTTATGTTAGACACTCTTGAACATTAAAAGCTGATGTATTGAGATTTAGATTTAGAGCAGTCATATTATTGTTATTGTTATTAGTGGTATTGTTTTTTATTATTGTTGTTATTATTATTATTATTATTATTATTATTATTGTCATCATTATTGTTGTCATTATTATTATTATTTTGTTGATATTATTGCTATTATTACAATTATTGTTATCATCATTATTGTATTATTGTTATTATTTATTCACTCATTCATTCCATTTCATTATCAGTCCTATTGATGAATAATACTCGTGCCAATATTCACAATTTTATTTTAGGTATGTGAAGATGGAGTCTACTTAGATTTTTTTTTTTTTTTTTTTTTTTTTTTTTTTTCATTTTCTTTCTTTTTTTGTAATAATCTTGCATGTACAAGTATCAAAGTAGATGTCAGAAATACACTGTTTACCTAAGGTTTCAAGTAATTGTTAAGGATAAAGAACAAAGCACATGCCATTCTACCATGAGATGCATTAAAAACTTTATAATAATTTTTTTTGTTTGTTTGTTTGTTAATAGTAAAGTAAGGGTAAGGACATATTTGTAACTTTGTAGATTTTGTAACTTTTCATAGGCGGTCTTTTATCCATAATTATATCCCGTTTTATCTCAAATTATGTTCAAGCATTTAATTTAACCCTCTTGCACACAGAGTTCTAAAAACATTTCCATGCATTTTACCCAAGGATCATAAAGAGCCGTCTCACCAACCCGGCTACTGTGTAATAATTTGCATGTGGAAGCCGCTAGCTGTGAGAAACTGTTGACTGGCAACTCACCTCACTCGAGTGATGTGTTCTCTAAGCTCTGTCATATTTTGGTACGGTTAGAGGGAAGTTGAAAGTGAGTGCCGCAGTGTGTTTGTATGTGTGTATCCAGTGGGCCATAAATGAACGATGCGGTGTTTTCATAACTGTGCCAGAGGGTTAACCTTAAGTTACTACTTATGAACCAAAGACATAGGTCAACATTGGAACTTCAAATTGAAAATGATTTTAAAGAATTTATAGAAATGTTTGTGTAATTCTACATATTATTTAGATGGCCAATATTCTTCATTTGTGTTTTTTTCAGTATTTTAATGTGTAATGACATTTTTTTGCAAAAAAATAAATAAAATGGAAGAGATTTTTTTTCATTATTGATTTCCCCTTAACTCTATAATCCATGATGGTTTTATGGTAATCTCCAGTACAGTCACTGGTTTGAAAATAAATTCAGAAAAATTATATCTCAAACCAAAATGTTATCTGCTTACTATTTTATATAATATCATAAAAATCTGCCAGAAAAATATTTCAAATCAATATGTATTTCACATTTTAGTATAGATTTTGGTAATTAAAAAATGATGGTACACCATATTGTTATTCAAAGGCTGGTGATCTGTGATATAAAAAAAGAAGGGAACCACTACTCTACCTATTACTGTGTGGTTTGTGTACTTACATGTAGGTCTCATTTCTCTTTCTCTTTCCTGTTCTTGCATCAAGTTGATATTCACAGCTCAAGAGTAGAATATTGACTCGTTATGCATACAGGCGATTCTGAACTCTTCTTGGGTAGTTTTTCTTCTTAGGAATAAATAGATGAGAAAAACGGATGGAAGAATCAAAAGCGATGAAATTGCGATTGGATTGGTTTATTATCAGCATTTGATTGTCAGCTCTAATACGCATATATACACTTACTGAGTCAAAAGTTCATGAGTAGATAGGATGATTATTCATCATCACGTAATGCTATATAATGATCAATTCATTAAGGTAGCTGACACTACAGTATTTTTCTTACGTTGATAAAAAAGAATCAGTTGTGAGAAAGTTATGCACAATGTCATTTATAAAATGATGTACAACTCCTGGAAAGAAATGATTTAGTCTATAGGTTAGTCATACACTGCTGATGTGTTGAAGAAAAAATGTTCTCAGCAGGATGAAAATCTTTACCTCTCAGACAACACCCACAGAAGTTCCTGTCAAAAGCCAGGTGAAATGTATTAAATATTACCACAGCCTCAAGGTCTAAAATGGAAAATTATAAATCAAAGCATAGCCAAGGTACTCTATTCAAGTGCTTACCATACTCATAGAGTATACGTGCATTTCCCTGGGAAAAATTCATTGCATTAAAGAATGCTATGTATGTACATACGTATACACATGTACACGTGTATATACTTGCTCCCTCTTTGCTCTTTGTGCAAGTGTGTGTGTGTGTGTGTGTGTGTGTGTGTGTGTGTGTGTGTGTGTGTGTGTGTGTGTGTGTGTGTGTGTGTGTGTGTGTGTGTGTGTGTGTGTGTGTGTGTGTGTGTGTGTGTGTGTGT